CAAAATGGTATGGTATTGTAGGAAGTTATCATTCACCCCTCTCCTAGAAGAATGAAATATCCTAGGAAATATTGAAAAGACAGAATATTATATTTCCCTGGATAAGAAATGGAGAAACATGTTTTTAGGCAGGAAACAGACTCACTCTTAATAGCCCCCACTTTTATCAATNGGTCAATGGTGTCCCTCTTTACCAATCTGAAAATCTGGTCACCTTACACATATGTGGAGATGAAACTTTGTTGGCTTGTGCAGCCTGGTCCTACTAAGACACAGGCCAGACCCAGTCCTCAGGCTGGGGGTCGGAGACCCCTGTTCTTCAGATAAGTTTTGCTGTAGCTTCCAGATGAACTGGATACTTCCCCGGAGAAACCTGTTTCATCCTTTTTGTTTTGGTCCTGGGAATATTGACATTAAAGAAGACCAAGTGCAAGTCTTCCATGAGGGTGCTATTCCCATAGGTCTACAACTAGGTTATGGGGATTGTGGTGAGATCATTGGTATCCTCCAATGTTCTTAATTGATCCTCATTTCCCCCTCTTTTTTCAAACCTTTGAAAAGAACAGGCTGGCCCAAGAATTGCAGGTGATCCCAACCTGTGCCATGACATCAGTGGGGGGAGGAGCATCAGTAGGGAGGTGAGAGATTGGGACAGCATCAGCAGGAGGCAGAATAGCATCAGTGGCCCTCTATAACAGACCCAATTTCTCATGGGTCCTCTCGGGAAAATTAATTGCCCACCCCTGTTCTAGGATGTTCACAATTCTCAGTTGAAAATGTGGTTGAATCTGTACATATGTTGTGAGATTATGAAGTTTTCATATCTTTTGACTGATAGTTGGTCTAGGTTAAGTCTGCCCCTACCCTGACCTTCACTTCCAGACTGCAGTGGTGGGTTTCAAAAAAATTTGGAACCTCTTCTGTAAGTGTGGCCTGCTTTCCGGGTCCACTGGTGGAACCTCTTCTAACTAGTTCGGTAGATTTGATGAACCGGTTCTATCAAACTGGTGCGAATCGGTAGGAACCCACCTCTGCCAGACTGCCAAAATTATTTTACAATAATTATTTTCTGTCCAATAGATGTAACAAGTATGCCTGCAAAGGTTTGCTCATTAGGGACAACAATTTACCTAGTGATGGCATTTTTAGTTTAAGGCTGAAATAAATTACAGTACTCACTGTTTTAAATTTAATTATACTTTTATTGATTCATTCACTTTTATTTATATTGTGGTCTATGATCTTAATAAGCCACTTGGCCATTCCTATAATTAAATAAGCACTAGAATGCCACATTCCTCCTTTGAGAGTTTCTTCAATGAAACAATTTAGAAAGTAACTTCTTTATATCAAACTGAATGAAAAATGATTACAAAACACATTGGGCAAAGTTCTATGCTATGCACCAAAAATAATTTTTGTTAAGCCATGGTGATTCTTATAAAACAGAATAACAGACTTGGAAGGGACCTTGGAGGTCATCTAGTCCAACTCTCTGCTCAAGCAGGAAAGTCTATACTGGATGTTGGCAACCTGGGATTCCCGAGCCACATGCGGCTGCTCTCTTGAGGTTCTGTCGCACTGCCAGTAATTAAGTTTTTCAGCAATTCCAGCTGATCTCACCACTGGCTGGCCCCGGTCATTGCCCCTCCCCTCCCAGTCAGTACTCACTTGACTTGAGAAGAGACTCACTCTGGGCCTGCCACGCTCATCTTATTGCTAGGAGCGAGTGGGGCAGGGTCGCATTGTGGCTCCGCGTCGTAATGGATCCTGGGAGGAGAGAACCTGTCTCCCCCATTGTGAAGTGTGCTAAATTTTGCTATGCTGTGCAAGGCGCTGCGAGAACGCCTCATGGCCTACCCGATGCCTCATGGCCTCTGCCTTGTGGCCTTCCTGCTGCTCTCACAGTGCCTTGTGCAGCACAGTTAAATTTAGTGCACCTCCCTGAGTGTCTGAATAGTGACTAGCACCAACTAAGGCTGGAAGTAGCCGCCCACCATTTCCTGCTTCAGTCTGTCAGGCAGTGAGACCCCTAGATGAGACACTGGAGAATCAGAATCAGAGAGGAAAAGTGAGGGAGAAAGGAGAGGTGAGAAGAGAGAGATACAGAGAGAGGGAGGGGAAGAGGAATATACAGAGAGAAGGGAGAGAGAGAGAGAAACAGAGAGAAGAGGGGAGAGAGATAAATGGAGAGAGGGAGGGAGAGTGGGGGATACAGAAAGAGGGAGAGAGAGGGAGATACAGAGAGAGGGGGGAGGGAGATACAGAGAGAGAGAGAGAGGGAGAGGGAGAGAAAGAGAGAGCAAGAAAGAGAAAAGAGAGGGAGGAGAGATACATGGAGAGAGGGGGAGAGATACAGAGAGAGGAAGAGAGAAACAGACAAAGAGAGAGAGATACAGAGAGAGGGGGTGAGGGGAGGGGGAGAGGGAGAAGGAGAGGGGAGAGAGATACATGGAGAGAGGGGGACAGGAGGGAGGAGGAGATACAGAAAGAGGGGAGAGAGAGTAGGAGACAACAACAGAGGGGGAAAGAGGGGGGAAGATACATGGAGAGTGGAAGGGAGGGAGAGAAGGGGAGAGAGATACAGAGAAGGGGAGAGACAGACAGGCAGGCAGGCAGGCAGGCAGGCAGACAGACAGACAGACACACACACACACACACACACACACACACAAAGAGATACCGAGAGATGGGGAGATACAGAGAGAGAGGTAGAGAGAGATAGGAAGGGATATATATGTATGTATGTATGTATGTATGTATGTATGTATGTATGTATGTATGTATGTATGTATGTATATATGTATGTATGTATAAAATACAGAGAAAGGGGGACATCATTTGACATAATTTTAGATGTCAAAAGGATTTTGTGGCTCCCAGTGTTTAAGAGCTGGTTCTCTGCCCTAATGACCAGCTGGGTAGGCATGGCTAGGGGGTCATGACTTGGTGGGAGTGAGTGACATCAATAAGGTCATACCCACTCAGGTTTTGTGGCTCCCAGTGGTTTCTTTTCTATGGGAAATGGGGCCAAATGGCTCTTTGAGTGTTTAAGGTTGCAGACCAGTGATGTGCGGTGAGGTTCACAGCTGGTGAGGCAAGCGGACAAAAGCCGCCCTATGTCTGCCAGCGCCAGCCGCCCGCGTCGGGGCTTCGGGGGCGGCTTCGGGGGGGGAGAAAGAAGGGGAAACCCACGGCTAAGCAGTCCGCTCATACACGGGCGCCCCCGGCCACACACTTCCCCCTTTGCAAAAAGGCGAAGTTGAAGCAAAAGTGGGGAAAGCAGAGCCAGACCCAAAGGCGGTTTGAGGGGGTTAAAGAGAAAGCGAGGGGACGGAGAAGAGCGGAGCGCAGCACTTCTTACCCGGCTTGGAGAGGCATGGACGGTGAGGTGGGGGACTCCCGGCTCAGTCCTCCTCCCTCAGCGGCCTCTGAGTCAGGGCAGAAGGATGGCCGGAGAGACTCAGGCGAGCAAGCCACGCACAGCGCTCCGAGAAGCATCGGCACAAGGGGTGCCCCCGCTGCCTTCCAGCCTCCCTCCGTCCGCCTCCTCCCAACTCGCATGGCGAAAAGAGGGTTTAAAGGGACCGGCTGGCAGTGAAAGAGAAAGCTGTCATGTGACGACGAGCCTGCTTGCCGCTCCCACTCCAGCGTGCCTCCTTGGTTGCAAAAGCGGGGAGGTCCTCTGGGCGTGTGCAGAGTGCCGCCTTCATTAAACCCAAGTCGGGCCGAGTTTCCTTTTTTTTTTTAACTGTGAGGCGGTTTAACGGCACGGAGTGGCTGCACTGAATCGTGAGGGCGCGCACACACCGCTGTCTTTAAAGTGCATGCTGCCGCGCTGGCCATTGTGCACCCTCACAATTCAGTGCAGCCACTCCATCCCGTTAAACCGCTTCACGTTGTAAAAAAAAGGAAACTTGGCCCGGCTTGGGTTTAATGAAGGCAGCACTCTGCACACGCCCAGAGGACCTCCCCGCTTTTGTGCGGTGGCAGGCACTTTATAGAAGGCACAACAAAGAAAAAAAATCAATGCATAATTTAAATCTTTTAATTAAGATTATTGACCAGCTCTTAATTGATTAATCATTCTTTCTGGCAGTGAATTCTTTCTAGTGGGATTACACAATGGCCCTGAATGCAATAAAATCCAAGTTAAATAAATTGGATGAGTATTATTACAATTCCTACATCAGGCCCAAGCAAACTGTAGCCACTGATCTAATATGAGCAACTTTTAGGTTCGTTTCCAAAACCTATCTGGAAACAATCAGTTGTGTGCCTGCCAGATCCAAATAACGTTCCATCCCAACTTCAGATCTGGGTATCTTATTTTTGTCCACGTCAGTTCTTTTCTGCTGGTCTTTATAACAACGAATTAAGATTTATTCAGGAACATACTTCAGTAAAAGGTTCTGCAGCCCGAATACAACTACTATACCAGATAAGGAAACAGCTCTTATAATATACTAATATATATTAGTTCCCTGGGAATAAACTTAAAATATTTCACTGTTGATACTTCATTCCTGAATCCTAATTGACTTTTACAGACAAAGGCTGAGTCGGTCCAATTTAATTGCTGCGGATTACAGGCGTATAGGAGTGAACATGTAAACAGAGGAACAGCGGAGTGAAAGTTAATCTTCAATTAAGCGCCGATATGTTTTCTCCAAAGTTGCTGTGGTTGCTGTCCCTCTGTTGCTATGGTAACTTTCCCTCCGCAACTCCGCATTACCCACCCCCCCGTTCTTTTCACCTGACGCGCGCGCGATTCTTTCATTCTTATTAGGCGAACGCTTCTCTCATTGGCTGCCTCGAGTCGCTCTTTTGCATTCCAGTCGGTGGAAATTTCCGTCTCCCGCCGCGCCAAGCCAATGGCAAGCCCGCGAGCCCCTCATCCAATGGTAGCCGAGGCTTCTGGCTGTTGTGGTTCGCGAGGGCCGCGCACGTGGTCCCGTTATGTAAAAGGTAGGGTGAAGAAGCGGCTCCCGGCCTCGCGCGTGTCTCGCGAGCCTGCGCAGGCGCGCCAGTTCAAGGAACGATCGGCGCCGCCGCCGCGCCGTGAGGAAGAAGGACAGCGGTCCGGATTGCCCCCCGCTCTCGCCCCCTCTTCTTCGAGCCGTCATGAAGCAGCAGCAGCAGCAGCAGCCAGTCATGTCGGCGGCCAGTACGGGCGCCGCTACCACCGCCGCCGCCGCGGCCACGGCAGTCCCGGCCTTTCTAAGTAAACTTTGGGCTCTGGTGGGCGACGCGCCCAGTAACCAGCTCATCACCTGGAGCCAGGTAGGCGTT